GAAGATTAAGCTATTAGACATGTTGGAGCGTTTTAAGGAATGTAGGTTTCTCAAAGACACATTGGACAGCAGAAATGAATGAATTTTCTTCTCTTGACATATCTTGAACATTTTATTATTTTAAGATGGCGAAGAAGAAGCTAATGATGATCATGCACCCGCTCTCTTTCGGTTTCAGAAAAGACCCAAGAGCTGAACCCTGGGCCATTGTTAGTGTGTGTTGGTTTGTTTGCACAAGTATGTACGAAGAAGTTTTGGCTCCCTTCCTTACGGAAAGAGAGACCCAGAGGTGTTGAGGCCTATGCTTGTGTAGGATCAAGAACACGTTAGGGGGTAGAGGAATAAATATCTGCTCTGAAAAGTCAAGCAGACAACTCAGAGAGAACCCCTTACCCTGTAGACATCGAAGAATGCCAAGTGTAGACAGTTGAGTGCTTTTCCGGGAAGAGAATGCTGAAGAACACAAGCCATGGAAGCAGACAGATCCTGGCTCACATTTTCCCTTGTCTTACTAGCTCTATGAGTAGGGAAAGCTGAATGGATTTATTATGGGAATTTAATTTAAAAAACAAACAAACAATCATCCTAGCCACTGGTACAAGTGGAGTGCTATGGAGTCATTGTATTTTAACTTTTTAGAAACCTTTTCTCTTGATTCTGTCAATGAACAAAAATAATGCCCAGTATGAAGGGGGTTCAAAATTTCCATGGGTAAATCGCATTATCTTTCAGTTCCATTATCCACAATTCATTTCCGCGTAAGCTTTTTCACAACTCTCTTGTACGTATAGTTCATGTGGGTCCAAGTTGTATTAGCAAAGCTTCCTCGGTGGATTAGCTGTTGTAATTCCCATTTTTAAGGCCTTTGCTATCACTCTTGAGGTATGTAGGATGTGGGTCAGTAAGAAGCAGCGGCCTTTTGTGCAAAGATGTTGATCCGATTACAATATACACGGTGTGTCTTGATCTTGAGCTTGTAAATGCTCAGGAACTGTAGCTGCTTTGGTCTGACTCTCAGACAGCTACTGAGACATTTAGGATGTATCTGAACAAAAGTGAGACTATGGAAGGTAGCTTGTTGCGGCACATTACATAGTTACTGACTAAAAAGCACAATGAGCCCTTTGGACTCTGAGCGGACACTGATCACGTTGGGCTTCGGTGCTGGAAACCGTGGTAGTATGTGATGCTGATGATTACTCTTGATCGAAGCCTCTTTCTGCCCAAATCCCTTGGATTTCGATGAGCAGCTGTCAGCTGAGCTGGGGCTAGATATTAATTAAATTCTTGAGTTACCTAGAGAAAGATTGGGGTGAGGTCATTTCTTTCTCCGGAAATAGTTAAGACGTTGTATTTTACTGAGGGATTCCGCCCATGGACTTGAGGGAGAGGGGTAGAGACCTAGCCTAGGAATTAACCCAGCTGGATTTAGGAATCAACAGAATGCCTGGGTAGCAAAAAGTGATTAAGTGATCAACTACTAGCTTAAAAGTTGGCAGTTTGAACCCATGCAGAGTTATCTCAGATGGCAGCCTTGACAACCCTCCGGAGTACTTCTACTCGGCACACAGGGATTGCCGAGTATTGATTGGATACCATCGTATGGCAGCAACTCCACAGAACAGCACACTTAGGAAATGCCCAGGACCTACATGGAGCCTTGGGGCTTTGGTGGTCTAGTGAGTTATACATGGGGGTCAACAGTTCGAAACCACCAGCTGCTCCATGGGAGAAAGACAAGGCTGTCTCCTCCTATAAAGATGGAAAGTCTTGGAAACCAGAGGGGGAGTTCTTCCCGGGCCTATAGGGTTGGTATGAGTCAGAACTGACTGAAGAGCAGGGAGTTTTGAAGCTGAGCCTTCTACTGTGATTGGAGCCAGCCACAAGGAATGCTTTCCTCTCCTCTCAGTGACCCACCTCATTGATGCACGTGTTCAAATCCATGGCTGCAGGGTGAAAGCACTGAGATTGAGAGGGGGCACCCTGACTCATCTTCGAACTGTGATGGTCTTGGGGAAATGATCAAACTTTTCGGACGCTAATATCCTAACATGTGAATGACATAATGGTCCCTAGGTGAAACCCGTGGTTTGTATTCCTTCTCCAACCTAGAAGCTGGTGGGGTCCACGTGCCCCCAGGAGCACTGGAAGAAACACCTACTCTTGTAGAGATTATAGCCAAGGAACCCCAATGGAACAATGCTAACTACAAGGTCAGGAGTTCAAAATGAGCAGCTGCTCCTTGGGAAAGACGAGGCTTTCTACTCCTGTGAACAGCTAGTCTCAGAAACCCACAGGGGCAGTTCTACACTGCCCTGTAGGGTCGCTATGAGTTGGAATTGACTCAATGGCCGTGAGTTTGGTATTGGAGCTAGACTGGTACCACAGTGGTTAATGTCCGTCTGCTAAGCAGAAGGTTATTGGTTTGAACTCACCAGCACTAGAAAGGTGTAGTTTGCTTCTATAAAGATTTACAACCTTGAACACTCTTCTCAGGCTGTTCTACTCTGTCCTAATGGTTCACTATGAGTCAGAATCCACAGCAATGAGTCGAGTTTTTTATTTAATCAGTCTCAAGCATTTAATCATTTAATCAGTCCCCTCACCTCCTCCAGTAATTGATATCATTGTGTTTAGGGCCTTGAGTCACATGTTGCACAGGAAGAGTAGGTCAAACCTGTGTGTCTATCCCTCCGGCAGCAGAGTGAATTGTGGGTAAATCTGGACAATGAATCTGAGAACCATGACACCCTTCTTCCCTTTCAAAATCACCCTGGTCACGCGCGTTATCTATAAACATACACTGGATACAGGCCAGACAGACACTTCGCACTTTACAGGACTTTATATCTACGTAGAAATCAACCAGTTCTCTGTAATTTTCCATGGCATTCCTGGGAAGTAGTCACAGGTTTATCCAAAATGACCCTGGGGCTTGTGTCTGGGTCAGACTCCACTTTGGACTCAACTTGTGTATCTAGTTAACTGCCAAAACTTCTGAAAATTCCTGCCACAAACCTTACTGGAGGGAAGTCATTCTGTTTCATAAATAATTGACGAAAAAATGTAAAACGTCACCTTTTTTAATACATGAGCAACTCCGTCCCTAAGAGGAGTGTGAGCCAATAAGCCTCATCCTCTAGGGCAGGGGTTCTCAACCTTCCTCATGCCGCGACCTTTCCATACAGTTCCTCATGTTGTGGGGACCCCCCCCAACCATACAATTATTTCTGTTGCTACTTCATAACCATAATTTTGTTACTGTTATGAATCAGGTGACAACCTGTTCGACCCCCAGAAGGGTCGCGACCCACAGGTTGAGAACCGCTGATCTAGAAGCGTCAGGAGCCATCATACGCGTATGTGTATGTGACAATGTGACCACATTTTTGTTGTTCGAGGAATTATATTCAAGACTGCAGAATCATGCTCATTAAAAGTAATATTTCCAGAATGTATGGACTTGGAGGAGAAAATGAAAGCGAGGTTCCTGTGATAATCATTGAATAACTTTCTCTCCTCCAAAGATGTTCTAAGAACTTATCCTTTACTTAGTGAATCTTCCTACCAACCTCTGGCCGTAGGGGACGCGCGCCAAAGGCACAAGCTGCTGTGTCGGAGGTGAGACCAGGTGCCAGGTTTGTGTATCAGTCTTGCTGATGTTTGTTTACCATTGAGCTAGGAGGACCTTCTGCCATGGAATCCTCTGCATAGGATGCAAGTGACCACAGACAGAAGAGATGATTTGGGCTACAGCTTTCGAGAGGAATGCCTCCTACTTCGCTCTTTTCTTTATTCTATAAGGCCACTTAACCAGCGTGGTCCCATCAAAGGCAGGAAGCAGCCTTGTATCAGTAAATGATTGACCTGCTCACCCGCTGTGATAAGCTTAGGTAAACAGGCTTGACTCTCCTCCAGCAATTTCAAGACTTTAACTCTCTAAGTTCCACGGAGGAAAATGCACACAGAGCCTCCTAATGAGGATAACACAGATGCACACAGATGCCCTCCCTTGAGGATGACGGCCCTCTGAGTGGGCACTGCCCACTCAGTTTTATGTAAATTGTCCTTTCTGGTAGGACTTGAAAGTGGATTCAATCAAACAAATTCTGGAACAAAGCTATGATTGCAAAATTATCAATAAGTACAGATAGGAACTGAAAATACAGGGAATCCAGGGCGGATGAGCCCTGCAGGACCAGTGGTGTGAGTGGCAAAACAGGGAGGGTAAAGGGAGACTGGGTAGGAACGAGGGAACCGATTACAAAGAACTATATGTGACCTCCTCCCTGGGGGATGGACAACAGAAAAGTGGGTGAAGGGAGACGTTGGACAGGGCAAGATATGACAAAATACCAATTTATAAACTATCAAGGGCTCATGAGGGAGGGGTTAGCGGGGAGGGAGGGGAAAAATGAGGACCTAATGTTGGGGGTTTAAGTGGAGAGAAAATGTTTTGAGAATGATATACAAATGCGCTTTACACAATTGATGTGTGTATGGATTGCGATAACAGTAGTATGAGCCCCTAATAAAATGTTTAAAAAAACAAAACAAAAACAACTCAGCAAAGCTAAAAAACAAACAAAAAAAACTACCAATAATATGACAACTTCAAAGCACACTCACTGCCACCCCGTCCATAGCCACCCTACAGGACCGAGTAGCAGTTGCCCTGTGGGTTTCCAACGCTATGAGTCAATGCAAGAGCAGAAATTCTCTGCGAACGATCGGCTAGTGATTTCAAACAACAAAAGCAAACACCTCCCAGATTTTTGAAACATGAAGAACAGCAGCAACAACCATTTTCAGGCACAAAAGAGAAGGAAGGAAAAGGCAACCCACTTTCCAGAACACGCGGAGCGGCAAACGATTGCATTCTGCAGAGATGTTCCCACCTCCAGCACAGCTCCTCAGTAGACATCAGCAAGAATACCCTGGTTAGAAAGCCTTGTAGAGCGCTTGGTTGGGGATCAGGAGCGACCAGGCAGATCACCTACCTTGAGGGCTGTTTTTGAAAGCAAATTCTTCTTCACTCTCAGCCCGGGTGCAGCAAGGACGACCCACACTCTTCCAGGATCCACCGAAGAATTTGAGAGGTTGGGAAGCAAGCAAGGTGTCCCCCTCCGTTTCTGCTCATGGGCAGCGACTTGCTTGCCGCTGGCTCTGTTGACAGATGTGAAGGAGGGGGTATGTGCTGGTCTCAGCCGCCTGGTCTGGCCAATCATTTACGCACCAGGCCAGGTTGTTAGTCCTGCTCAAGCCGGACCACAGGAATGGGTGATAAAATCAGAGAGCAGCGCCTAGGCCAGAGAGCAAGGTCCCAAAGCTCGTGGAGCAAGTTGTTGAGAAATGGTTCACTCCTTCATATTTTAGCCACCTCAGGATCAGAAGGGAATTTGGATTTCTTTTTCAAATCTCCCATTTAGTAGAGGATAGAGTTTCTCCTACTGAGTTTGTCTGGTGTGAACCATCTGGGCAGTTCCTTGAACATACATGGTTGCTTGTATTCAGGGAACACGATGTGCTGTACATTTTACACAGAGCGCCAAAGATCCTCCTGCTAATATTGGGAGGCCACTGTCCACTGGTGGATGAGGGAGCAGACACTCAAAGGCACAGGGGTCACATTGCTAGTGGTTGTTTCATCCAGGGCCTGAACGCAGGTCTGCTTCAGCATCAGTGCTAGAGCCAATGTCTTTTACATAATCCACCGTGTAGTAGACCCACTAATGTATCCCACCGCTGCCAAATGTCCATGATTTCATCCTCAGATCCTGCAAATATATTGAATTGAGTGCTTCAAGCCCATTTGAACCAGTTCAGGTATGTCCAATGATAAATTAGAATAGATCCACTTTTTAAAGTTGTTTTAAAAAAATTTGGATGACCTAGAGCAATAGTCAAAATAAGTGTATTGGAAGAACGATGGATTGAGGCCTGGATCGGGAGACTGAGAGGTGTAGTGAGCCCTTTCAGGAGCCCCATGCAGGACGATGGATTGTCTACACTGTGGCGAGCAGCTCACACTCAACTGGCGGCCGTCTTGGAGTGGGGCACCACTGATTCTGACTCTGCTCAAAGGACAACGGGTAAGAGATTTGCTTGCTATACCACGTGTACACAGCCCTTTATTTCTAAGAAGGAGATAAAGTATCTCGCAGGGCTTCAACCTTCCCTGTTTCACTTCTCATTCTGTTTTACCCAGCTTTAAAAATTTGGGTCTGTTTCTGGTTTAAGGACACTGAAGATGTAACTATCTTGGGGCTTTTGAGATGAGATTATCTTGGTGATGTAGACGGGTCCTCATTAGAGGTCAGTGTTAGGGAAGGAGATGTGAATCCAAGGACAACCAAAGAGACTGTGTCTGGCTTTGAAGGCGGAAGAAGCCGCACGTAACAAGGGGTGTAGGTGACCTCCAGACGCTAGGGAAAGTAAGGAAACGCGTTCTTCCTGAAGAGTCTTCAGAAGACACACTTGTGCTGAGCCTTTCTAGACGGCTGACCTACAGAACTGCAAAGTGATAAGGCATTTGTGTTTTTCAAGACACCAGGTTAGTGGTGATTGTTCTAGCCGCAAGAGGAAACGCATACCCTTCTCTTTGAAATGGTCTTTGAGAGTGAGCTCACTGTCTCACTCAGCAGCCAATTCCATATAGGGACATACTTTTTTTTTTTTTTTTTTGTAAACCGAAATCTATCTTCTTGCAACAGTCCCTCCTTAGGCCTAGTTTGGCCTTACAGTACATACAGGGCACTCAGGGAGGCAGGTGGGCAGAGTCAGGAAAAAAAACCCCACTGAGATAAGAATCAGACACTGGGACATTCGCTCCAGCTCTGCTTGAGGTAAGCCAATTCTCTCTGCCTTTGTTGTCTCTCCTGTGACATGCACAACCAACATGGATTTCATCGGTGTATCCCACAGCAAAACTAATGTGACTCCCAAACCTGAGCCGCACAACCCACTGAAAATGCTTGGAAGTACGTTTTGGGTATCTCTTCCACACGCAGCCTCCCTGGGGCTTCTCGAGTGACATGGATGCTGGCTCCTTCACTCCCTGGCTTCCCTTCTCTGCAAAGACTTTCACTTCCTGATGGTGGCACCCACCTGCCAGCTGGCCCGCTTCCTCTGGCTCTGCAGCCCTGCTCTTTACTAGTCCCACCTACCCAATAGGACCCTTGGTGTCACTGCGTCGTCGTTCAAGGAGCCCTGGTGACGTAGCAAGTTCCTAAGGTTAGAGCAGCGGTTCTCAACCTGTGGGTCGTTCGACCCCCTTTGGGGGTCTTCTAAGACCATTGGAAAACACAAATATTTCACAATCGATGATTACATATTGTTTTGTGATTAATCACTATGTTGTAATTATGTTTAATTATGTTCAATTTGTAACAATGAAGATGCATCCTGCATATCAGATATTTACATGACGATTCATAATGGTAGCAAAATGACAGTGCTGAAGTAGCAACGAAAATAATTGCATGGTTGGGGGGTCACCACAACATGAACTGTATTAAAGGGTCACGGCATTAGGAAGGTTGAGAACCACTGCCTTAGAGTCTCAGCTGTCTGAACCCGCCCCATGGGAGGAAGATGAGGCAGTCTGCTCCCATGAAGTTAACAGCCGTGGAAACCCGAAGGGGCAGTTCTTCCCTGTCCAGTAGGGTCACTATGCCTTGGGCACAACTTGCTGGCAGTGGGATGATGAGAGTTGCTAGTCCGGTCTATCCTGACTCATGGCAGCCCCATGTGGACAGAGGAGAACTGGTCCAAGGGGCTGTCCAGCCCAGGACCTCTCGGCAGCAGCAGACTGCCAGCCTCTCAGCTAGTTGTTGACACGGAACCCGTGTGGGCCTCCAGCCTTCTTGATTCCTTCTTTGGCATCTTACTGTATGCCACCTTCTCTCTCAATAGGGAGCATCGTAGATCTATAGTGGGCAGATCTATATCTGAGTCACGTGGTCTGTGTGTTCATTGGAAGAACCAAGCCGTTGTGAGTCTAAATTAGCTGTCTCTTGCTTAACCACATTCAAATGATAGCACATTCTCACAGGCACTTGAAAGGCACTAATGTATAATAACGTCAATGGTTTATAACTTCTTAGGCTCATACGAAGAGGTACTGCCAAAAAACGGGAATTATATTCGCCCCAAGCTATGTATTTAAATTTGTTTACAAAACAACCTTCAAAGTACTCTCTATTACACTTAATACATTTGTCAAACCTGTGATTGCATGCTTGGAAACATTATTCAAACTCATCGGTTTGGATGGCTGACAGCAGCGCCCTCGTTTTTTCTTCAGCTCTTTTCTGTCATCAATTTGCTGTCCTTCCATGTTCCTTTGCATTAGGGAAAAAACAGTCACACGGAGTGAGGTCAGGGGAGTAAGGCCTGTGGGGCAAGAGAGGCATGCTGGGTTTTTTTTTTGCCAAAACCTGGCACACTGAGATGGCTGCATTGAGCGGGTGCATTGACATGGTGACAAAACCAGTCCCATTTGCCACAAATCAGGCCTTTTTGGTCACACACTGTTAGGCAATCGTCTCAGAACTTCTAAATAGGAAGCTTGATTAACAGTCTGACCTGGTGGAATGAACTCAAAATGCACTAAAAGTCGGAATTTTCATTTGTTTGAGAAGTTGATCGATGTCCAGAACGAGGTTTGTCATCAATCGACATTTCACCTTTTTCGAAATTAGAAAACCACTCGTACACTTGAGTTTTTCACCAAGCACTGTCCTTGTAAACTGTATTCAACATCACAACAGTTTCTGTGGTATTTTTCCCGAGCAGGAAACACAATGTCCCAGCCACACACTGTTCTCTTAAATTCACCCTGAAAAAAACCTGAGGTTTAAGCTAACCTGCTTTTATGAAAAAATTCACTGTGACCAGAGAGGACCTTCCCAGGCGACACCACTGGGTGCACTAACTCAAAGCAAGTTGCCTGATGCTTGCTTAGTGAGGAAAAGTGCTTACAAGAAAGCTCCACCTAGCGGAGCTATTTCCATTTTTGCTTTTTTTTTGAGGGTGGGGTGGGGGGTGTAACCCCTCATAGACTTCTCTGAGACTCTGCTGAAAGCTATGTATCCTTTACTGGAACAGGCGCAAACACAGCTAAGATCTGGTGACACTTAGAGGTTCCAACCACCTGGAGTGGTTCATGGGGCCCTCTGACCAGTGAGCTCTATGTTCCCAAGGTTGGGGGGCTACGGGTTTGGGGTGGCCTTACAAATAGAACAAAGTTTCCTTCCGGATCCTTGTACATTTCTCAGATGCCCTAGAACGGAGACCTTCTGGGCCTGGAATCAGCAAATGCCCCGTGAAGATCAAGGCAGGAACCTCTTCAGGCCAGAAAACTGCTAAATTCTCAGGTTAAGCAAAAAACAGCTTTCAATGACAGCCCTTTGCAACCAGAACCCTGCTTCATAGGGCTTTTCTCCACAGGGCAAATCCTATTCTTTAGACACTCAGACCCTTATATTCAAGGCATCTGCTTGCCTCAGGCATCTCTCAATTGTCTGATTCTACTGGGCAGAGGCTGACATTTCTGTGCCCTCCCCACCCTCCTGCTAGCCCCAAACACTGTCCAGCTGTGAAAACACCCAGCCTGACTAGGGAGTTTTGTTTCACGGGCTTTTGCCCAAGCCCTGCTGGGGGAAGTGGAGGCACATGGGCTTTGGCCACTGCCACTCCCTTGCAACCTCCCACCCACCCTCTCTGAGCAGGAAAAGTTTCATGTGTTAAGAAGAATAACACTCCTTCAGTCACGGTGAGCAGATAGATTCACACAGGGCTAAACAAAGGAGCACACTGCTGAGCAGGAAAAATTCCTTTGGAAGAAAAACTAAAATCCAGGATGCTCAGGCATCACAGAGAAGGGATTGCTTTCAAAGCTAAAGAAAGGGACTTGGCTCTCCACAACTCCCCCTCTCCCCCATTTACTGGGGAGCTGGAGGGTTTAGGGCCTTTCTTTCCCTCCCCCCTCCCCCATTTACTAGGGAGCTGGGGAGGCTTTGGGCCTTTCTTCCCCAAAGTTGAATTGTTCTTCAGACCACGGAGAGGTGATCCAAACACTACTT